GTAGTTTAAATTGATATGGATTATATTATATGTATATATAGCATATATCATGCTGTGGGCCAGAGGGTGGGGGGGCTGAAATGGCCGGTAGTTTGAGATCCCTGATCTTAGTACTATGACTGTATGCGGACAATCCAAATAAATTGTTACTGTTAATGTTAAATAATCAGTGTATGATATACATCCACTTCCATAAGCCAGATTCTGGTTCTATTAACTACACTGAAGTGTCCACTACTTTATTACCACATACATGCTTCTATCAAAACAGTCTCACCACAAGGTCCATGTAGCTGTCCTGAGGTAGAGGAATTTACCCAAGAGTGAAATGAACGTTCGACACACTTTCAGCTTCAACTTTAACACACTTTCATGGATAGAAAGTCCTTAAAGTGCTCAGAAAAATGGTATTTGAACTTCTATAATTCCATTACAACTCAATCTGCTGAGGAAGAGGAAGCAACTGAAAGTTCCGAAAAGGCACCTTGTCAAGATACAACTTTCAGTCTCAGCATTAACATCCCTATAACAATGTATTTTCCTTCACAAACTGCTATTATATGTCTGTTGTTATCAACATGGTATGCACAAAGACCTTGCTGGCATTGGTATCACCATTTACTGAAATCAGATATGTAACACTAACAGCAAAGCAGATCATTAGCAAATTGTTCCTATGAGTAACGCTCAGCAGTGCTAATGAAATATTTTGGCATAGCTGTCAACTCTGTCACATTAAATGTAAATGAGCTCAGAAGCCTGTTGGGTGAGAATAAGAGAGCGGTAATACTTCCAGCATATTACGTTCATTGGCAGACACTCCAGAGCAACTTACATGACACACTGGGAGCTGTCTCGGGTTCACTGTCTCACTCAATTAAGGACACTTTGACAGGAAGAGCCAGGGACTGTCCAACCAACCCTGCGATTAATGGCCTATTCATTCAACCTATTTAGTAGTGAACAAATAGACACTAATTACAAGGACGATTTATTTTTCATTTTACAACACAAAGTTGTATAATGAGATTAATCTGTATTTTAATTGTACTGATTAATTTGTGTAATTTGCTCACAAAAACAAACTTTATGTACTAAAATGATAAACAGATGGGTGAATAAATAATGAGTCATACTCAAACTACAACATGGCACAAGATGACATTGTTTCTTCTGACAGGAGCACAATATACAGTCTTATGCAAAGTTTGGAGTTAACAGTGAACAGGGCTCAACAATAAGCACTTTACCATCGATATGCAAGAATGTTTCTTTCTTTGCAGTCTTTATTTATTCCAGCACACTGTTTAATTTCCATCATGTCAGATCTATTTTATTATTATTATTACTTTTCTCCCACGTTAGTGTTGGGTATTTTATTCCTCTAATTTTATAGCATTTTAATTGTCTGAATTTATTTGCCTCAGTAGGTAAATAAAACCTCAATAGGTTTTAGGGATGCACCAATATGGATACCAGTATCAGGTATCGGGTCCCATACTGTGCACATGTACTTGTAATCATAAAACCACTCCGATACCACTTTATGGCAGCGGATTGTTGCTTAACCTCTTGTTAGTTGAGCAGGTAGGTGGAGGAGAAGCAATGTGAGTAGTTTGAAGATATGTTAAGCAACTTTTACAACATTAGCAATATTTAATTAGTCAGAAATGAGTTTTTAAAGTCATTACTAGAACTGTAATGGTATTATTAAGTACTCATATCGGCAAGTACTTGTGTTTCTATGTGGTACATCCCTAATTTGTTTTATTATTATTATAACTACATTTTATTCACCTTGTTTCCTGTATCATTTTATGTGTCTGATTTTATTTGCCTCATTGCCTCCTGAAATGTTATAAATTCTGGTTTTAACTGTTGTAAAGCATAACTTTTTTTTGAAAAGTGTCCATCTTTCCAGGCTCTGATTGGTTGTGGGGGGGAAAGCACCATGAACAGAAACTCCATAAGCTCACAGCACTGACTGCACTTCAACAAAGATCTCTGGGAAGTGCGGTGCAAAAAAGCCCACTGCAATAGCACTCATGTCTAAAAATATGTTACAAAGGTGAGCAATATGTAATGATGGAACTGATGCAAGGGTGGAAGTTTATTTTTGACCTAGGAATCAACAAAGCAATCTCACTAGATCTATTTAGTTGCTGTTGTGGAGCCTTCTATGGTGTCTCACAATCTTCCTCAGCAGAGGCCTCACCTCACCTCATGGCCACAGCTTCCTCTTAACAATAACAACATTTGTTGTGCTTCTTAAACATGCATTTGTTAGTGGCAGAAAAGTATTTTATTTTGGACATTTTGTACGCTACATTGTGCTGTGAGTCTATTAC